CGGGGATCACCTGAAGAATGCAGAGAGGAGGTGGAGGGCAGGTTCTCCTGCAGGCGGACACTGTGTACTCCTTGAGGCTCAGTAAGGGAGGACTGGCACTGGCACCCAAGACCCACATTTTGCCATGAGCTGTTCTGTCCCCTTCCCACCACGTGGTGGCAGCTCTGCTCTTCTGGTGCATATTTCTGGTTCAATTAGCAACCAGAATATTTACTGCCCTAATGCTTTCTTTTACTTCTAGGGGCGGGGGAGGTAGTTATTGAAACTGATCTGATTAATTCAGGGAATTACTTGCAGCATTCAAATCTACTGTAGCTTAGGAGTAAACTTTGCTTCCATTAAGATACTTCCTAGACTTTTCAAATCAAAACGTCGGCCCTAAAAGCCATATGTTATTTATATCCAGGATGAATATGTTTCTATGAAAAGAATATTCATTGGGTTTCCAGTGAAGGTTGGAGATTCAAGGGGCTTAGGAGCTTCTTTGATCTATCCTGTCATTCTCAGTTTCCTCCCTACTCTCTCCGTCGGCGGTAAAAGAAAGGCTTCTCAGCACTCACCATGGCTATGGTCACCGAGACGCAGATCTCTGGCGAGATGCCCCAGTCTTAGGCCTTGGCCATTGCTTCCGGATCTCTCGTGGATCTGCTACGCGATTCAGTAGGCTGAACAAAGACGGCAGGAAAGGAAACGGCGCTTGCTTCCTGCACTCCCCGCGCTTTCTCTGCAGGGGGACTTCTTCCTATGTCTTCTCAATGCTGCTTCTCACATCCGAATACATCACTACGGTTGCTCCAGATTACAAAGGTGCTAGAAAGAAAAATCAGGATGATTAGACGTTCCTTACCCAGACATTTGGAACAGATGGCAGGAAAGATGGCACGCAGAGTTCGCTCCGGATGTGTTTCTCAAAGTCCGCAGGGATCCTGCGTCAGCCTCGACAGTGGATTGCTTTGCTTCACTCCACCCACGGATTGGCCGACAGCGGCACCCAGAGGCCCAGACCTATATCCATTTTCATTTCCAGAAGTCCTAGCAGGAGACTGCATTTGCTTTATTTCTAGGACTTATTTTAGAATACAGTTAGTTTAGTACAAAGGCTGCAAGTCGTTATTTCTTCTTGACAAAATATCAATAATATGATCGTTCCACAAAATTTAAATCAAACGTTGTAACGTATTAAAATGCATAGCGACTTAAAATAAGAATTCTTACAGAATTTTCCCTCTTGACATTTCCGTTTAAAGATGATATACTGCTCTAACTGGTTGGGCTCAGTGGATAGAGCGTCGGCCTGCGGACTGAAGGGTCCCAGGTTGGATTCTGGTCAAGGGCATGTACCTTGGTTGCATGCACATCCCCAGTAGAGGGTGTGCAGAAGGCAGCTGATCAATGTTTCTCTCTCATCAATGTTTCTAACTCTCTATCCCACTCCCTTCCTCTCTGTAAAAAAATAAAAAATCAATAAAATGTATTAAAAAATAAAAAATAAAGATGATATACCATCGAAGCTTCTTTTCCTTAAAAGAACTTTTTACTCAAGAAATTATCCATTGTGAAAAGAATTTTACATTGTAAAAAATAGAATTTTCACTGTAAATTCTATAATAAAAAGAAAGTTTCACTATAAAAACGTAGGAAATACTGATAAAAATGTAAAATCACCAGCAACTGCATTATATAATTTATGATTTAAAGAATTTATATTCTATGCCTATTCATACTTTTAATATATGTATACTTTTCTTCTTTTTTATTGTGGTAAAATATGCCTGACTTAAAATTTCCCATCGTAACCATTTTAAGTGTACATTTCAATGGTATTAAATACATTCATAATGTTGTGCAACTATCACTACCATCCATTTCCATAATTATTTTCATCATATAAAACTGAAACCTACACCCATTAAATGATAACTCCTCATTCTCCCTTCTCTCCATCCCCTGGCAAACACCATTCTACTTTCTGTCTCAATGATTTTGACCCCTAAAAATACCTAATATAAGTGGAATCATACAGCAATCTTTTTGTGACTGGTTTATTTTACATAGCAAAGTGTCCTCAAGGCTCATCCATGTTGGAGCATATGTCAGAATTTCCTTCCTTTTTAAGGCTGAATAATACTCCATTGTATGTAAATACCACATTTTACTTATCTATTCATCTGTTGACAGACATTTGTGTTACTTAAAACTTTTAGCTCTTGTGAATAATGCTGCTAAGAACATGGGTGTATAAATATCTCTTCAAGACTCTGCTTTCCATCCTGTTGGAAATTGCTGGCTCATATGGTAATTCTATTTTTAAGTTATTGAGGAACCACCACACTGTTTTCCACAGTGGCTATTCCATTTTACATTCCCACCAACGGGGCACAAGGATTTCAATTACTCCACATCCTTGCCAACATTTTTTTATTTTCTGTTTTTCAATAGTAGCCATCCAAATGGCTGTGAGGTGTTATTTTATTGTTGTTTTGATTTGTATTTTCCCAATAATTAGTGATGTTGAGGAGGATCTTTTCATGTGGTTATTGGCCATTTATAATACTTATGGAATTACATATATACTATTATAATCCCCCAAGTAATTCATTCTTTCATGGATATTATTGGTTGCCTCTGTAGACTGAATATCTGTGTCCCCCTGATTCATATGTTGAAACCTAATACCCAATGTGATGGTATTAGGAGGTAAAGCTTTTGGAAAGTGATTAGTTCATGAGGGTGGAGTTCTCAAGAATAGTATGAATGTCCTTGTAAAAGAGGTTGCAGAGAGCTCCCATACAACTTCCACCATATAAAGTTACAGTTAAAAGACTGCTGTCTGTGACTATAGAAGCCTGTCCTCACCAGACACCAAATCTTTCAGTCTTTATCTTGGAGCTCGCAGACTCCAAAACTGGGAAATAAATTTCTGTTGTTTGCAAGCCACTTGATTTATGGTATTTTGTTATAGCAGCCCGAATGGACTAAGAGTTGCCCATGCCCTCTCCTTTCTTCTAACACTTTATTTATAGCTTAGGGGCCCAGTCTCTGAATACCTAAGGTGAAGCTGAAGCTATTCATAGCTATAGTAGGTTCTGAGAGCTCCAAACCAATAATGATAATCTCATTCTATTTGTCAATGGAATATGGGCTTAAAATAATAAGCTTAGGTCAGGGTTTCTCAGCCTTGATATGACTTTGAGACAGATAACCCTGTTGTGGGGGATAAATGTACTGTATATTGTAGAATATACAGCACATTCCTGGCCTCTACCCTCTAGATTCCAGTAAACTCCACCCCCTTAGTTGTAACAATCAAAAATGTCTTCAGACATTACCAAACACTACCTTTGAACCATCATATTATAGAACACATTATAGAACAAAGAGAACAAATGTAGAATTATCTTAAAGAGCATAATTTCAACTTCAAACTTAACATTAACAAAAGCAAACTGTGTCAGGCCATTTAAATTCCTCCCATGATATACAGTCTACCTAAATCAAAGAGGACATATGCACACACACTATTAATAAACCTCTCTGCTCATAACAATTAGACTAGAGAGGAAATGTATATGAAATGACTCTATCTCATTTTAAAATAACAAAGAATGTATTTTCTCTCACAAATTATCATAGGAGTTAGACTATATTTATGTTCCTTCTAGATGGATAGATTGGTTCATTCAATTAGCAAATATATTCTGTATATCTCCCATGTTTTGGTGCTAGGTACTGGGACATGATGAGCAAGACAGAAGACTCCTGATTATCATGGAGCTTCCAATATGGGGTAAGAGAAGCAATAAAAACACAGAAATAAAGTGAATTTTTGAAATGTTAATCACATTTTTTGAAAAAATCCTCACCCAAGGATATTTTTTCCAATCAACTTTAGAGAGTGGAAGGGAGGGAGAGGAGGAGAAAGGGACATCATGTGAGAGAGCCACATTGATTGGTTGCTTCCTGCATGCACCAGACAGGGTCAGGGATAGAACCTGCAACCCAGCTAAGTGCCCTTGACTGGGAATGGAACCTGCCACCCTTTAGTGCACGGTCTGCCGCTCTAACCACTTAGCAACACCAGCCAGGACTATTAATCACATTTTTAAGAGCATGCTCTTAAATTTAGACATAGTGGTTAATATTTTACAGGATAGAAATAAAATTTTTAATGACCTTGATGCTCTACCAAACTGATTCCATTAAAAAATAAATGGAAATGAGTAAAAATAAGTGGAAAGTATTACATAATGAGGCTTAAATATTATAGATACATGTTGATGAATACCTAATTACATACAGAAGAGACAAGCAGAAAACAGTTATCAAAATAGTAGAGGTGGGATGAACAAAAATCCTAACTAATTTAAAAATTACTGGCAAGTGAGTGGCAGGGAATAATACTTCAATTATATTCTACGTCAGTGAGACCATTTGTCAGACAATTCTGTCTAAAATGAACACGTGCTTCCAGAAGAATACCTACTCCTTTGTTTACATTTGTATCTATGTCAAACATTAAAAAGAGGAATCACCCTTGTTCCCTTGGGATCCTTCAAAACAGACCCTTGAGGCATGGGTCCACTCCATTCATTTTCATAATCAATGTTACGACAGAATTATATAGTGAGCAGCATGTCCTCTTCTCCACTGATTTGCATACTTTGAAATGCACTGCACGGTTAGTCATAAATTCTTCCCTCAGCTCCCACGTGGATATATACCCTGGAAAACATCCGAGATGTTTCCAAAAGCAAAGACGCTTTCCACATGGATGCCCTGTATCCGACAATCACCCGGAAGCCTAGGAGATACCCCGCCCCACAGCGATCCGATAAAAGCTCTGGCTTAGCGGCGGGGCGAGGGGCGGGTGTGGGAGGATCTATCTCTTTTTTGGAACGGTGTCTAAATACAAACTAACTTCTTAAATTATTCCCTCCGTAGAAAGCCAAGTTCTCGCGAGACAGTATTACGCCAGCTAGCATAATTGCGCCTGCGCGCTCTGAGGCAGCCCGCACTTCCGCTTGAATCGCGCTGTCACTCAAAGCCGTCTCCCGCCCCGCGCGGTGACGTAGCGCTTTCTTCTCCGCTTGTCTGCAGCACCGGACGGAGGTCTGTGGAGCCGCGGAGCCGCAGAGCCGCGGCGCTGCCGAGTCTGGCGCTCAGAGCGGCACATCTCAGCGAGATTGCGCGCTGCCGCCGCCCTGCCCCCCGGACCATTCACTGGTAACCAGTACCGGGTCGCTTTGCCAAGAGTCCGGAGGAACAAAGGAATCGGGGAGGCGAGACGGTCGGCTCCCAGCCGCTTGCTCCGAGTGGCTTTCTCTTCCGCTCGCTCCGAACCAGAGAAGCTGGGTTTATAATCGTCACTGGATCGTAAGTATCCGAGGCGAAGAGAGCTCACTGCGCCCCGCTTTTTGACTGCCTTTGCTCCGGGAAAGTGTGGATTGGGAGTGTCAGCTGGGGCCGTAACTTTCTGTGCTGCAAATCACTCTGCAGAAGCCACCATTTGCTTTTCTGCTCGCTAGCTCTCTGCATTGTCCGGCAGCGGCATCTAGAGGTTGGAACTTGGCATTGCAGCTAATATATTTAAATGGACCTAACTGAATAAGCCAGTTATTGTCAGTAACAACGTATTAAGTCACAGCATATTTAAAAAGACTTGGTGCTTAATTTAAAATTAAGAAAGTAGATGCTTAGCTGCTGTAATACTTAAATATTTCAATTCATAACAAACTGGTCTTTCTAACTGTTGCAATAACTGGAACTTTTTAGTGCAACAAGTGGCTATTAGAGAAGTGAGTCACAAAGAAAGAAAGATGAGTAAGAGCAAAGATGATGCTCCTCACGAACTAGAGAGCCAGTTCATCTTACGTCTCCCTCCGGAATACGCCTCTACCGTGAGGCGGGCAGTACAGTCTGGCCATGTCAATCTGAAGGACAGACTGACAATAGAGTTACACCCAGATGGGCGCCATGGAATTGTCAGAGTGGACCAGGTCCCACTGGCCTCAAAATTGGTAGATCTGCCTTGTGTTATGGAAAGTTTGA